GCAATGAGGAATACTGTTTTGTTTTGTTTTTTAAGTGGGACGGGGAGGGTGGGAGAGTACCTATAGCACTTTTAAACTGTTTACTCAAGGGAACAGCCGAGCAGAGGAGGAGGGAGTCTTAATTCAGCTGCTCTTGGAGGCTGAAAAAAAAAAAGGCGCAGTTAGCCTCAGTGAATGGAAGGAAGCGATTTATCTTCGCAGAATGATTATCATCCAAATATTTAACTTTTTTATCCCTCGTCATTCAGCAAGCGTCGGCACAAAGAATTATTTTTGTCTTTTTTTTTTCTTTGCCCTTGCTGAGGAGATGGTTTCAATTTGGAGCAACGTTCAAGTCTGCTACCCCCCGAGGTGTTTCTGAGGCTGGAGCGTAGCCATCTGAGAGGAGAACAGGACCTGCTCCCCCTCCCTGCTGCTGAACAAACCACACACACACACACACACACACACTGATACACCTAACCTCTGGTCCTCTGCTGCTTCTACAGTGTTTGCTATGTATAAATAATATTAATAAACCAAACTTTTTTTTTATTTGGTTGTTGCCATTTTTAATGTCACTGACCTCATCACAACTGGAAGTGCTCTGAGAGGAGAACAGGACCTGCTCCCCCTCCCTCACACACACACACACACACACACACACACACACACACACTGATACACCTAACCTCTGGTCCTCTGCTGCTTCTACAGTGTTTGCTATGTATAAATAATATTAATAAACCAAACTTTTTTTTTATTTGGTTGTTGCCATTTTTAATGTCACTGACCTCATCACAACTGGAAGTGCTCTATTTACAATTATTTARAATATATTAAGTATATCAGCAACTCTGGCTCATGTTGTAACTCCGGTTCACTCRGACAGAGAAGGAAAAAGTAAGAAAACCCACTTTCAGTTAAGTTTTCATATTTTATGACTTCATTTTAAATCAAGGTTTTTACCAATTATAAAATGGTAAATACTTTCTCAGATGAACCTGATTCAGTGCTTTTAAATAAATTTGATTTTGCAAAACCAATCTCAAAATTCAYAATTATTGCCCATGATTCTGAAGCTTGTAGGACCACCTTGACCAGATCTTTCTAGAAGTAATCTCCTTCCTTGGGATGTTCTCTGGAAGAAAACACCCTTATTGGCCCACTCCCTTTTTTTTTTTTACATTGAGGTATTCAGGCTTTAAAACGTGGGTTCTGCAGGTGCAAAACAAGCCCACATCACCAGCCTTCCACCTTCGTGTTTTGACAACTGGTTTAACATGTTTGCTTTTCACCTGAAGCAGTAGGCCTACCGTGCATCAGAACTCCACGTCCCCAGTCTGGTCTAATTTATATTCTGTTCCAGTAGTCTTGTGATTCGTTTAGATGTAACCTAACCTGTTCCAGTGTGCTCTTTTAAGAGTGAAGTGTCTTGTGGCATCCCCTAAAAGAACAAGCCATACTTGTTGTTTAACCTGTTGAGGAAGGCCTGTGGAGTCTGAGATGTTAACCCACGTGTCAAACTCAAGACCAAAGATGCATTAATGTCTTAAAATAAGTTACCTGACGGCCACGATTGACCATAAATTACATTTCCCATAATGCACATAGATTGTTACAGGCCAAATGACAGCCTCCCACCACTAGGTGGAGGTGCACAAGATTTAAAAGTAGAATCTTCCAAAAAATGCTGCTAAACTGGTTATGTTTGAACCCTGTGACACCATCATTTTGCAAGTAAAATGTGTTCCAGTAGCAGTAGCACTGGGAAATGCAAATTTCCTTGCTCCCATTTGTAAATTTAAACGGGAACGCCCCCTCAGGTGATAAATCCCATTCTTATAGTGGGAGCGACTGCAATTACCCCTAGTTTTGATTTCAAGATGGCTGCTACTCGCAGCTTTAGCTAACTTCGTTACTTTTACTGTTAATTACCATTCTTAATGTTTCTGTGCATGTTTAATTACTCGTACAAGTAGTGATGTGCATGCTGTACATATTAAAATCAGTGTTTATTTGCATGACGTATGTAGTAGAGCTCTCAGTTTGTCATTGTTRATATTGGTCAGCGGCAGCAATAGGCTACAATCACCTGTGGGCTTTGGGATGCATCCAGGAAGTGGGAATTTCCCAGCTACAGGTTGTAAATTCACTGGAACCCCACCTTCAGTGAGAATTTACAGTCAGAAAAAATGGAAGAGTTCAGAATTCAAGATGGCAGCTACTCAAKTGATCAGTAAAACTGTTACTTTTAATTATATTGCTGTATTATTTATTTCACGCTTGCTCAGTACACATAGTACCTTTAAGCATTTATAAGAAAAAAACTGTTTCAATGCAGGAAATGCCATGTAGAGCTCAGCAGTGCACAAATGTAGCAATATGACGAAGAACATGATCTTTTGCATTTAGTCAAAGTTAAACATGAACGTCAAAATTAATTACAACTGACCCTTTAAGGCAGTGGTGTCCAAAGTCGGTCCTCAAGAACCGGTGTCCTGCATGTTTTAGGTGCTTCCCTGGTTCAACACAGCTGAACCTAAGGAGTGCCTAATTAGTAGGCTTCTGCAGACCTCACTGACGCACTGAAGAGACCCACTAATTAAGCACTTAGGTTCAGCTGTGTTGAACCAGGGCAGCACCTAAAACATGCAGGACACCGGCCCTTGAGGACTGACTTCGGACACCGCTGCTTTAAGGGGAGCCATGATGCGGCCCTCAGTAAAAATGAGGTTGACGCCTCTGTGTTAACCCAATACATTTATGGAGCATGTGTATTTCCTGCAGTCTATTTGAGGTAATTCTCCTGACTCGCGCTTGAAGCCCTCAAATGAGTAGTTTCCTTTGTGTACATGCAGTCTAAAYTGAACAGACTTCACAACTCCCACTCGTAGTGTCATTGGTGTGAGAGAAAATAGACTTTTACAGCAGGTAAGCATGTGAAATGACACTTCAGCACCTACTTAAAGCCAGTTGTTTTGCAAAAGTTACAGATCTTACAGCTAAAAAACCCATTTCCACGTTAGCTTGAACTCTCCCAGACTGACCTACAAGTTCACACCCAGTGTTTTCCTAAGGTGTGACATAATGTCAGCACACTGGGGCTTAATGATTAACTTCACCACACTCTAAACTGACATGGTCATAGAGGTTTGACATGAGAGTTCATGTCAAACCTTACTGAACTTGTAACACTGATGCTTGCCATCGTTTTCCTGATCTTAATCTTTACAAACTGCACCTGAAGTTAAAAAGTCGACACTCTGGACCATAAAGATAGACTCTGTGATGAAATGCATTTTGAACTTTTGCTAAGTTCTGTTTCACCCTCATCCGTTCCTACACGATTGCACGTTACTTCTGTTTTTACTGTCAACAAACGGGTAAAAAGAGGTTTCGACACTTCTGCGGAAATCTGACTATAAGCACAGCTTTAGATTTGTGGGCTTTAAGTCCAACCTGTTTATCTGACCTGCTTTATGGACCCTCCAAATTCCTCAGGTCCTTTGTAAAAAGTAAACTCTTCTGATTGTATCTAAATCTAGAACTAGAATCCACAGTGYGGTGTTTCACCTTTGGAACAGGTCTGCCCGAGGACCTGAAACTGCTGAGGTTTTAGAAAGCAAACTGAAAACTCACCTTTTCAGTTCTGCTTTTATTTAAATTCATTTGCATCTTTTAGTCAGATTTTTTTTGAGAACATGTTTAAACTTGCTGTTTATTGGCGTTTCCTCTGTGAAATTTTACATCTTAAGTTCCTTCAATGCTCGTGTCCATCCTTTCACATCTTATGTTTCAAAATACTTGAATGTGTTTTTTTGTAATGTTTGTCACTTTTATGTTTTGATTTTATCTACYTGAAGCTCTGTGTAAAAAGGGTGCTTTATAAAAAAATTGGATAGGATTTTGTCTTCAGTCTGGAGTCCGGTTTGGTGGCCTCAGGATTCCACCTCTGCCATTTGTTTTGCAGATGATGTGGTTCTGTTGGCGTCATCGTGCCYTGATATTCAGCCCTCACCGGAGCGGTTCGCAGCTGAGTGTGAAGCGGCCGGGATGAGGATCAGCACCTCCAAATCGGAGTTCATTGTCCCCAATTGGAAAAGGGTGGATTGCTCTCTCCAGGTCGGGGGTGAAGTTCTGCCTCAAGTGGAGGAGTTCAAGCATCTCGGGGTCTTGTTCACGAGTGAGGGGAAAATGGAAAGTGAGATTGATAGATAGATCGGTGCAGCTTCTGCAGTTTTGTGGACTCTGTACCAATCTGTTGTGGTGAGTAAGGCAAAGCTCTGTTTACTGATCAGTTTACGTTCCTATCCTCATCTATGGTCACGAACTTTGGGTATTTGACCAAAAGAACAAGATCGTGGATACAAGCGGTTGAAATGAGTTTTCTCTGCAGGGTAGCTGGACTCTCTCTTAGAGACAGGGTGAGAAGTTCAGTTATCCGGAAGAGACTCAGTAGAGCCGCTGGTCCTCCGCATCGAGAGGAGCCAGTTGAGGTGGTTCAGGCGTCTGGTAAGGATGCCTCCTGGATGTCTCCCTAGGGAGGTGTTTCAGGCATGTCCAACAGGGAGYAGACCCTGAGGAAGACCATGTCTCTTTGCTGGCCTGGGAACACCTGGGAGTCCTCCCAGAAGAGCTGGCTGTGGAAAGAGGTTTAGGCTCAGGCTGCTGCCCCTGAGACCCGACTTTGGATAGAGCCGAAGATAATGGATGGATGGAGGGTTTTGTCTTGTTCCATTAAGAAAACAAAAAGAAGTTACTTAAGCAGCAGCAGTTTGTTTTTTTAATTCCATCTTTTGCTGAGGAATAAACAGTAAAAGCTCTCAGGGAGTTTTGCTACTGATCTTGTTGGTGGCCTTACTGGAGCGCAGCCAAGACTGGATTCACTGATGCTGAACAAAACCTTTTCACACAACAAACACTTGGTCCTCTACTGCATGCTCAGTGTTTGGTCTGAACACACTCACACAAATACAAACACAAACACACAAACACACACACACATAAACCCCAACATGTTGCGTTTTCAGGTGAAACTTTTATTATCCTTTATCATAAAAATGCCATCAGTGCATTWCATTTTAATCTAACTCATCATTCATATTTTCCTTATTTTAATTCAAAGTTTTCTTTCACTCTTAAAGTTTCCTGCGTCTCTGCTGAATTATTTCCTCTCAGATCAGAGAACATTACATTTTTAGCATCTTTTGCTGCTCGCCACACMGTCACACCTCTCATATATTTCAGCTCCTGCAGCGCAGCACTGAGATCCTGCTTAATCTGTACTCAAACCAAATGTCTTTCTCTCTGACTAGCAAATACCAATTCCTCAGCTGGCAGCTTTCAGAGTAGAAGCTCTGCAAAGAGGCGTCTCTCGAAATTAGTCTCAGTTGTTGTTTAGCGGGGTCTCCTTGGTACCGTAATTTGAACTTCTGCCAATCTCAGTCTGGCCAATCATCCAGCGTATTCCCACAGAAACTACAAGAAAATAAGATTTGATTAAGAATGTTATTTCTGAAACAAACAACACAGTGGTGATAAGTTTTGTTCAAGTTCTTATKATTTCCACAGTAAATTTAATTTGGAATTTTTCACATTTCCTTTCCAAAAGATCGAGTTTTGGCAAAATGAGATTTTGACGTTTAAATTTGTGACTTGAACACATAGTTAACCTGTGTCTAACCAACTCCTTGTTTGCCATTTTCATTCCAACAACAAACACGGACATTAATACAGGATTTATTGTGGAAACTCAAACCATGCTCCTCATAAACATAACATCTAAATAATAAAAACAAAACAAACCATGTAACGRTATCAGTGGCATGCTTCTTACACTGAGCAACCAGATCTTCCATAAAGAAGAGAACTTACATCAGAGAAGTCATATCTGCTGCTAAATGAAACATTTGAACAGAAAGGGGTTGGTTACATTCATCGTATCTGAATCGGGGTGGCCCGAGTGTGAATCTATGCAACTCACCTGCGGAGCACACGGCCACGGCAGAAACGATGGTGAACACCGATCCGGAGCTGATGAGCTGGTTGAGGAGGAGACCCAGAGGGTAGAGCGTCACGCAGCACCAGAAGATCCAGTTGATCAGGGACCACGGTCGACGCGGTGGGCTTATAACGGGGCCGGGGAACCGTCCCGTCTGGGAGTAGTGATCCTGGAAGCCGTCCTGAGGACACATCACATCTACTTACAGAAGAATACGAATATAAAGCTGAAGGAGAATGAAACGAGCTGATTGTTTTTAATTAACAAAAGTTCAAATTTAGTTGTACTGCAAGATTATTCGGGTTTATAACTCTAGCTTTAAACTACAGTATATTCAGATTCACAAATTATACTATTTTGGAAGAGGCAGCAAAAGTTCCCTATCCTTGCTTCACTTTAGAAGAGTAATAAAACCATTTCAAAATCTGATCCTGACCTAATTTGTCTTTGGTGATTTGCCTTTGTGGCTTTCCAACAAGCAGTTCTGTGATTTTTCTCTGGAACTTAAATCACAACAGCTGCTGACAGCTATTTCTCAACGTTACAAAATCGAAAAATTACCTCACAGAAATTCTTTCCTTGTGTTCTTCTAGTTTTCCACAGATGTGAAAGCATCAGATGCTATTTTAGAGAGCCCTCTTCACTCTTCGTTAGAAACAACATTTCCAACAGGCAGAGCCTCAACAATGTGCACATGCTCACCAAAGTTGGACAATAATTGGAAATACACTGATGAGTCTATGTAAACCCTAAAGATGATTGTGAGTGAAAATTCCAGTAGATCTGCAGTTTCTGAACTACTCAGACCAGCCTGTATAGTTTATTTTAGGTAATAACGATCTARTGGCATTAACATCGATATCGGCCAATATTGGTCCTTTTTTAGAATATCTGTATCAGTCTGATAAGTAAAAATGTATCGAAAAAAAGACAAGTGTGTTTGTGTGTATGTATATAAATTATTTGGGTGTTTGTCGGTATAACTCAGGGGTGACAAACTCCAATCCTCGAGGGCCACTATCCTGCWTTTTGTAGAGGTTTTCCTGTTCCAACACACCTGATTTGATTACTGGGTGATTAACAGGCTTCTGCCTGATTTGAAGAGTTAATTCATTTAATCACTGTGTGATTGAGCTGGAAAACCTCTAAAACATGRAGGATAGCGGCCCTCGAGGACTGGATCTTGACACCCCTGGTATAACTGATAACCAAAATTTATCGGCCATACACCAGTAATAATTCGGGATGCACAGATATTAAAATTTCAGCTGATAGATATAATTATTGCTGTTAGGGCCGATAACCGATATGTACCAATATTACACAAACACACTAATTATATTATACAAATAAAACCAATAAATGGTACTAAACGGTAATAAACGGTACCAATAAAAGACCCAAGTGCATTTGTGCGTACGCACAAATYCACTTGGGTCTTTTATTGATACCGTAAATAAACGACCAGACCTCTGACATGGCTCTTTGCTTCAGTTATTCCTGACTGCGCAGCAACAATATCACTATCATGATCAAACAGATGTCGCTCAACCAACCATCWCCCCTCCATAAACAGAAACACAAAGCTAAAAAGTGGGAAATCGATATCGGACGTTAATATCGGCCCAGTTTTACATATCAGACCGATACAAATATTCTAAAACATGATCAATATCAGCCGATACCGATATCAATACAGATATATCGTGCATCCCTAATAWTAATAMCAGATATCGGCTGAAATTTTCTTATCGGTGCATCCCTAGTTTGTACGTATTTAATTCTTTATCCAAGCAGGCAAATCTCACCAACACTTTTTAAAGAGAGAGGCTTTTATGGTCTGAAGGCAGCATAAACACTGAATGGTATTTGGACCGTGGGATGAGAACAAGAACATGCCAACTCCACAGAAAAAAGACCCCAGGCCCATTTTTCTGACTTGAACCCAGGATCTTCTTGCCGTGAAGCAACAGTAGTAACCACCCTGAAGGGAACACCATGTCCATAAAGGCTCACCTTTTCCTGGTAAAGTTTGTGGAGCCAAGCAGAGCACTCTGCCTCATCTTCTGGAATCGACTCTAGAGGAATTCTCCTACAAAAATAAAAAATTGCACAAAATGAAGCACGTAAAACACCAGCAAAATATCTGAAATCTGGTATTCCTCTCTCTTTTTTTTTCCTACCTAACATACAAATCAGCGTGGTATTTCTTCCCTGAGAGAACTCCGAGCAGAGTCGGTGCCTCGTTGTTCCTGAAGTTGAGTGTTGAATCATAAACGGCAGCAGCTGAGCCAGGACAAACACATGGCAGCAGTTAGCTGGATGAGAACATCTGATTTTTTTAAATTGCCGCACTTTAAAACATCACAACCGAAAGAGGCTCACCAGTGCCTCTGAGGTTTTGGACAGTGACCCAGAATCCTTTGGTTCTGGGCAGAAGATGGTGCTTCAGTTTTGGCAGACCTTTGCTCTCGGCCACTTGCATGCTGATTTGGTGCTTCTTCGATGTGAAGCGTGTTCCTTCACAAAAAAGCAGGAACTTTGGGCAGAAATGACAGCGTTAGCCATCAAATCTGTCGTGAATAAAATTGATAACTGAGTCATCTTGGTTTTTAGAATGGCCATCAATGATTTAAACCCACCCAAAACTTTTCAGGGTAATCATGGAGTTTCTGAAGACTCTGAGTCACCGTTGTTTTGTCTTCCTCCCACTTCCTTTTGCAAAAAACTATCTCCAGGAAATACCACATCCAGCCGATCACRGGCACATAAGCCAGCTCCTTTTTGGCCAACACTTTAGAGCTCTGAAAGTATATAAAACAAGTCAGAACTAAATCTGAGTTCACAGTAAGATTACCTCACCCCATTCCAAAGGGGGAGGGAAAAAGTAAAATAAACTGTTCTGTCTCTTACCCCAAGTACTCCAAATCTGTCACAGAAGGTCCAGCCACACAGAAAGTCAATCTCAAAACTGTGGTTCAGAACCACAATAGCGTTCTCTTTTCCATAGAGTACGTAGCTTTTTGGGTCAGTGTAGAGAGTGCATTCTGTCCCAGACCACCACTCCAGGGCTGCTACCAACTCTACGAAAGTATCAGACACAAACATGTAAACGATGTATACTGAGTCAATTCACAAATAAAAATAAAGTCATCCCAGTGGACTATACAGCAAAAATAACATCCAGATTCAGGTCTAACTTCAGCAATTGCATTCCCTGCAAAAATGCTAGTGTGAATGCTTCATGATGAAAACTTAAACTGAAAGCTGCTGAAATTGAGCTGAAAATATTAATTATTATAAAGAAAAAAATAGTATAGGTCTTCTG